AAACACAATCGCGGTAAGCCTGGATTCGAACCCATGATCATAGATTTCTGGCATGCCCAAGTGAGCCAATTCTGCACAGAAAAATGCAGTGCCTTAGGTGACTGGGACACACTTGCCCTTGGGTTACACACGTTCGTGTGTGCATGCTGGTTCTAGTCCGGACTAATGCCGATGTGCCCACTGAGATACCATGCACCAGTTTAACATGATACCCTACTCAGACACAGCATACAGACTCTGAGCCAATTGTACTGTGATTATATGTATCTTGATAATATGGTTGTGAGATGATACATGATACCAAAATTTAGATGTCATGTTAAAGTCCCATCACCAAATGATCTGTTGAAGATGCAATGAAAACATATTGCGTATACATTGAGATCGACCCTTATTTCATGTCCGCCTCGTTGTTAGATGTATTGTTTTGTATGCTATATGACCTCACCAGTACTTTGGTGATTAGTAACAGCCCTTGTCCCAGCACCAGTACTGAGGTCACGAAATATCACAACATGTTTGTATATATCAATATCAATTCAAGGGCATGCTGCATTGATAGATTGCTTCAAGATGTGTGCATCATGGCACAAAGTATCCCAAAGCACCAACCCATTGGGGAGTTTTTTCTATTTTAGTCATGCTAGTGCATTATGCTGGTGTATCATATCAGGCTAGTGTGTCTGTGTGTGTGCTGGTGGTCAATCCTTTAGTCATCATTGTCATACGAGTGTCATATCATACTTGTCATAACAGTGCCATATCATACCTTGTCATGTCAGTGTCATATCATACCTTGTCATGTCAGTGTCATATCATATCTTGTCATAACAGTGCCATATCATACCTTGTCATGTCAGTGTCACATCATTCCTTGTCATGACAGTGTCATATCATACCTTGTCATACCAGTGTCATATCATACCTTGTCATGTCAGTGTCATATCATACCTTGTCATGTCAATTTCATATCATACCTTGTCATACCAGTGTCATATCATACCTTGTCATGTCAGTGTCATATCATACCTTGCCATGTCAGTATAATATCATACCTTGTCATGTCAGTGTCATAACATACCTTGCCATGTCAGTGTCATATTGTACCTTGTCATGTCAGTGTCATTTCATACCTTGTCATGAGTGTCATATCATACCTTGTCATGTCAATGTCATATCATACCTTGTCGTACCAGTGTCATATCATACCTTGCCATGTCAGTTTCATATCATACCTTGCCATGTCAGTATAATATCATACCTTGTCATGTCAGTGTCATTTCATACCTTGTCATGAGTGTCATATCATACCTTGTTATGTCAGTATATTATCATATCTTGTCATGTCAGCATCATATCATACCTTGTCATGTCAGTGTCATATCATACCTTGTCATGTCAGTGTCATAACATACCTTGCCATGTCAGTGTCATATCGTACCTTGTCATATCAGTGTCATTTCATACCTTGTCATGAGTGTCATATCATACCTTGTCATGTCAGTGTCATCTCATACCTTGCCATGTCAATGTCATATCATACCTTGCCATGTCAGTGTCATATCATACCTTGTCATGTCAGCATCATATCATACCTTGTCATGTCAGTGTCATATCATACCTTGTCATGTCAGTGTCATAACATACCTTGCCATGTCAGTGTCATATCGTACCTTGTCATGTCAGTATAACATCATACCTTGTCATGTCAGTGTCATATCATACCTTGTCATGTCAGTGCCATATCATACCTTGCCATGTCAGTATAACATCATACCTTGTCATGTCAGTGTCATATCATACCTTGTCATGTCAGTATAACATCATACCTTGTCATGTCAGTGTCATATCATTACCTTGTCATGTCAGTGTCATATCATACCTTGCCATGTCAGTGTCATATCATTACCTTGCCATGTCAGTGTCATATCATACCTTGCCATTTCAGTGTCATATCATACCTTGTCGTGTCAGTGTCATATCATACCTTGTCATGTCAGTATAACATCATATTTTGTCATGTCAGTGTCATATCATACCTTGTCATGTCAGTATAACATCATACCTTGTCATGTCAGTGTCATATCATACCTTGCCATTTCAGTGTCATTTCATACCTTGTCATATCAGTGTCATATCATACCTTGTCAAGTCAGTGTAATATCATACCTTGTCATGTCAGTGTCATATCACACCTTGTCATGTCAATGCTACAGTAAACTATTTACTAGAGTAGTACTTGGTGGTGTCTCAAACACATTTAAATTGGCAATATGGACACAAATAACAATATTGAAATATCTTAATAAAATATTAATATATAAAATCACTAACAATACCTATGCATGCCATTATACACCCCTGTAGATAGCATTCATCATACTGACTGTTCTGTTCACATCACAATGTTATCTTATCAACACCAGTTGGTGACAGCAATATCACATCTCAACATGACCTAATCATCAGCAACATCAATGACAAGCAAACCAGTGGTCGATAGTACGAGCTGCGACCATTAATGTCAGATTGCCATTATACACACTGGGTCCACTTCATATTATTTGGTTCTGTGACAAGCATAGGGTACTTGGAACCTATTCTGACCCCGAATGAATACACCTGGACTGCCTTTACTAGTTTTTTAAGTGAAGTTATGGAGATTGTATATAGACTAGAACAAGCTGATCTTACTAGACCAAAAGACATTTTACTAGACAGGGGCTTCAGACAAGTGGACAAAGATGCAGACTGCTTCATATCATGATTTTTGTCTATAAATACTTGAAACCGGGTCCAGCAAACAAGTGAGTGACACCAAGAGCACAGCTTTCCATGCTTTCAGGGTTTGATGATCTCGTCAGCTAGGTGATCTCATTTTCAGAGACAATTATGACAGGCTGTCCTGACTCCCTCCATTTAGGCAATGGTAGCCAAGGGGTGGTACATTCACATCATTCAGGGCTAATGATCTTGTTTATTTGCATACATAGGCTACAATATGCTACAGTCAATTACTATTAGAAAAATGAGATATTACTTTTGAGAAAAATGAAATAATCTACACTGTAATATATTAATCCGGATCATATGATGTCATTCATAAAAAAGTAATGACCCCTATCCTTGCTGAAGCATTGTTAAGTTGCTATTTGTTGGTTGTTTAACGCTGCACTCAGCAGTATTCTTGCTATATGACGTCAGTCTGTAAATAATCAAGCCTGGACAAGACAATCAAGTGATTGACATCAAGCGCATCGATCATTGCAATTGGGATACAATGACATGCATCAACCAAGTCAGCGGGCCTGACCACCCGATACCTGTTTGTCGCATCTTACGACTGGCATAGTCGCCTCTTATGGCAAGGATGGGTTGCTGAAGACACATTCAAACTCAGATCTTCGCGGGTTTGTTACATTTGCATCCTGAGAGCTTGGAATTGTGTCATATTATGTGTGTGTGTGCGTGTGCTCAGTGCAGGTGTGCAGTGTATGCCTATGTGGTTTAACACTGCACTCAACCTAAATGTAAGTGGCCTGTAAATAAAAAAGATATTGTGCACAACGATCCACGTCAACAGGATAAGAAGACATGCAATCTACCAAGTCACCAAGTCTGACCACCACATCCATTTTGTTACCAGCATAGGTTAATGGGGACCTATTCTAACTCGGATTTCTCATATTGGAAGTATCTACTAATTTTCATTACAGATGAGTTAATGGGATGTGATAAATGATAATGTGTGACCTGGCTGATTGTGTGTTTGCGACAGCATGGTTCATTGCTCAAGCTATCAACCCCTGGTTTGTTGGGCCATATTTAATTGTTTACAGACAAAACAATCACAATAAAACAAGATTATCATAACTCAAGATGTCACTTAATTTAATGAAACAGGTTAAGGTGAATAAATTTATTAGGAGCTCATGTTTATTTATCTGTTGTTTTACGTCGACTCGGCAATATTCCAGTGATTGACATCATGAACATCGATCTTCGCAATATTGGGATACAATGACATGCACCAGCCAAGTCAGTGAGTCTGACCAGCTGATCACCCCTTATGACAAGCATGGGTTGATGAAGACCAACTCTGACCCAAAATCTTCATGGGACTATGAGCTTATGATGCAATCTCTTTGCCTTTACTGAACATAAGTTCACACAAAATGCCTGTTCAGGTATTGCTGAATCCAAAAATATCCTAAAGTATTAAGAATGAAGAAATGGAATCAGATGTTAAACTACACCATTTGCAAATTGGTTTAGTAGATATACAGTAAGTCTATACTGCCCATAATACAGTTATGTGTATGCTGGCAAAAGTCCACACATTCCCTGAGGCGATTGTTTTTAAATGTTGGGTGCTGTTTCTGGTCTTCCACAATCGTATCAGATAAACCAAATGTACTGTTCTTATAGCACTAGAATCTGATTGTAAAAACAGATTCTTGTCACATGTGCATCAAGAACAGTAAATAGGGTCATATATGTTGGCATAGTACACTTTCAACGGCCCACCAGCTGCTCACATTCCTATTATGGTGATTGTTTGACTTCAACTCAAAGTGCATTCCAACTTCCAACTGACATTTTCACCTGGATGAATGCAAAAAAAGAAATCTTTAAATATCTTTTGAAGTTTTCCCAGAGTGGAACTTGACCTGTCAAGAGTAAAATGCCTCAAATTCCACTGCCAAATCACTGGCGAATTTAACAAGGCAAGTCTCTGACAACCGAAAACTATTTAATCGTTCACTCTGACAATATTTTGTCATCTAAGCAAAAATATTCCGAGGAAAGGCAAACAAGACAATGATTCATCCGAGCATCTCGAACATTCATGGGGGCGGCCATGTTCGATACCAGCGACAACAAAGGATGGCGGAGATTTTGTTCACAGAACAATGAAGTAAATGAAAGAGCATTTTATTTGTAAGGAATTTTGGTAACTTATTCTTGACGTCGAACATATAAAATCACACGATAATTACCTTCTACACTGAAAACTTCCTTGATTTATTGCACCGACAATCCCCTTCCGCGTAGAGGGCGTGGCTGTACCGGATGTGTGATCCACAATGCATCACGGTTAACGGAAAATGATTCACAGGGGGCCTTGTAAGGGTTCGTAATTGTTGAAAAGAGGCCAAGAGAAAACGGCTGCAACTCGGAATTAGCGTGCATCGTTTATGGTCTCTGGTTTGTTAAACAAATATTGTCCATCGTTATGATTCAAGTACATGTGTCCCAGCAGGCTTTTTAACGCACAAGTAGAACTGTGTGTTTAGTAAGTGTGTTTCTGAATCCGTGCACATATTTACACTTTAAAAGCGTGACGCTAAACTAGTAATAAAACAATTTTAACGGAAGCACCAGTATAGTCGAAGATTAAACGTTAACAAATCCTGAGTTATTATTTTATAAACAAGGTGTAAAATTTTAAATAGTCCTACATCTGTGTACTGATCATGTATTTAGAATCTTTCCTTAGTAGGTACACCTAAGATGGCGCGTTTATTTCCACGTAAGACGCTGTATATCGGCGGTTTATTACGTAACTGTTAACACCTGATTACATTTCGCGCATCGTTAGACGTGTATATTGGACCCCGCGTATATTCATACCATTAACATCCTATACATAGGCTTGATATTCAAGACATGTTGAAAAAGCGTGCGGTAGAGCTAGTGCAAAAGCGTCATTGAAAGAGAGATTAGCCTTGTGTATTAGCCTTGCGGAAGGAATTGTTCAATTGGTTTGTATACAAAATTTTACAAAAATTCAGTGAAATCATTCATTGATAGTAGTGGTATAACTGTGAAGTGTAATTATTTAAAGGAAAAATAATGTACTTTACATATAATGAAGATAAACATTGATACATTGTGATATATTTATAACAATAATAAGCTAGACAATTTATTTAGTTGCAGTCTTCGTCAGAGTGTTAATTTACTAAAGTAGAACAAATGTGCTGTATAATAAAACCAGGTATATATACACATGCACAAAAGTTAAGCGCCACCATATTCATAGTCTCTTGATTTCACGTGTGGGAATCAGAAATACGAAATATGATGATGTATGACTGAATCATGAATCCAAATTTGTCCAGATACCACAAGGAAAGCGTGCTTTACGTGTTGCTGCAATTCCCCTGCCCTTTAAATAGTTAAATTCAAGTTTCAGACACGTGGTTGCATTTTGCTCCTGTGTGAGATTCCCCTTCCAATAGAGGTTGAAAATCAGCCATGGTGAGGAGAAAGTTAACGAACGCTAAAAGATGGCAAGTGATAGACATGAAAAATGCTGGCATGTCATGCAGGGCCATTGCAAGACAAATGGGTCGTCAACACAGTGTTATCACTCGTTTGATTGTCAAACATGGTCAAACCAATGATGTCAATGACAGGCATAGGTCTGGTAGGCCAAGAACGATCTCTAACAGAGAGGATAGACATCTTTTCAGGATAGTCAGACGAAATCCATTTGCCACTTCAACAGATATAAGACTGCAGTGGATTACCCATCAGAGACTCTCGACGATGACCGTAAGGCGTCGCCTCAGAGCGGCTGGTTATAACGCCAGAAGACCAGTAAAACGTCCTCAACTGACTGAGAGGCACATGCGGAATCGTCTGATATGGTGTCGTGCCCGTAGTCGATGGAACTTGGCCAACTGGAGAAGGATCCATTGGTCTGACGAGTGTCGAATGCTGCTACGAACTGTTGATGGTCGAATACGTGTTTGGAGGCAACGTAACACTCGTTTTGCACCAAGGAACATCCAGAAGACCTTAGCATGTGGCGGGGGGTCTGTCATGATATGGGGTTGTGTTTCCTTCGGCTGCAAACGTCTGCTGGTGACAATTCGTGGAAACCTGAATGGCCAACAATACCAAGATGCCGTTCTTCGTCCAGTGGTAGTCCTTCATTTTGACAACCATCCTCTTCAGACAAGACCTGTTTACATGGACGACAATGCTAGACCACACAGATCTCGGGCAGTTTTGGCTTATTTGCGTCAAGAAGCTATTGCCACTCTTCCTTGGCCGGCCTGTAGTCCGGATCTTAATCCGATTGAGCATCTCTGGGACATTCTTGGCCGGAAAATCAGACATCGTGATCCCCCAGTTCAAAATCTCGCTGGACTTGAAGCCGCACTTCATGAAGAATGGATCCGTTAGCCTCAGAGAAGCATTGAAGCTGTGGTCAATGTCCGTGGATCATACACACGTTACTGACGTACACTCCCTAGGGTGTCTATGTGACACCTTATATGATCTGCTGATATCATGACAGTTACATGACAAAAAAAGTTTTTCAATGTTTTCTAATCCTTCAATTTCTGGTCTTCGGTAAAATTCCATTCTGCTCATATTCTTTTGGAACCCAAGATAAACTTGCTTTGGGACAACTTTTGCATCACATGAGGCTTACATATACGGCTTATAACAATCGTACATCTCGTTATAATAGTCATCATTAAGTGCCAAAAGTAACAGCTCACAAATATGGTTGGTGGCGCTTAACGTTTGTGCATGTGTATATAATATCAAAACATTACATTTCAAAACAAGTAACGTGTGTGAATTATCACGTCAATTCATCAAAGATGAAATCTGGGCAAGTCAGGATTGCTTCATTAATTATGATATTACAGTGTGCTCAGAAACTTCATATAACAATAGAGTAGATAATTGAATGAAATACACAGCTGCACATTTTAAATATTTCCAATATCATTTTTTTTGTCTTAAACAGAGAGACTGTTCAAGATAGCATCTCCAGATTAGGCAAGGAAGCCAGAGTCCCTGCTAGCCCATCCCTCTTGTTTTGTTTGGTCTGCCACAATATTTCCTCTATTATTTTACTCACTTCTAAAAGAAATGCACACACTAAAATGTAAAATGTTAGAAATCGAAAAGGCACGTTCATGTCGCACATTTGAAAGGCGTGGCATGACAATTGGCCGTAAAGACTTTTGTTTTCTTGTGTTTTTCTTTTTTTGTTAAAGGGGCACTCATCTAACGCAATTCCCCGGGACTGGTTGTTGCCTTTGTTATTGTTTTTCCCCAGTGAGTACCCGGATGTATAGCAGAAATCTAGACTAGTTCGCGACCTCTGCTGCGCCATTCGTAAGCACATTAGTCACTTTTATAAATACCGGTAGTAATAAGTGCGTATGGTCACATTGATCAACAAAATGAAATACAGTTTTCGAGATAATAAGGAAATGTAGGTATCTTTGTGGGTAGCATCGGTAATGGTGACGAAGTTTTGATAAGTCACTTGCTTGGTAATTTTGCGATTTTCGTTTACACTATTTTGACTTGCAACACAAAATAAATATTTCACCTGAGCATTGCTTTTTTTATAGTGTGTATATTATTTTACTGTCAAAATGTGTAACATATTAATTAAACGTCTAAATATTCAGTTATTTTACAAACTGACTGAAAAACATTTCCATCTGTATTATTATGATAACGAATTCCAAACATTTTGATGTTTAATGTCATCACCAAGAGACTGAAAATGTTACGTTGAAAAGTACATTTCTATGTTGTTTGGCTTCTAATCCTACATAATAATCTGTTGTGATGTTTGTAGGCTCTTTTGATAGTCTTAATCAATCTGGACAGATTTTTCAGTCAAAATGACTGAAATATTTACAAATTTATAAATTGCCTGAGAGAATCACATTTTACAAATTGACGGTAATATATACACGCTTACAAAGGAAAAGACCTGTGAAAACAACGTCTATCGCGCAGTGAAGAATTTCCCAGCCAAGACGTAGAGAAACAAGAACGAATTATCGGTTCAAATGAAGGAAAACAAAATGCAAATACCATAATTACAACCTACCAAATTTATGTGTATAAATTTTAGGCAGCTTCCTTGTTCGAGGAATGTATCCGTAAATATCCACACAAAGGAACAATATCCCACTCGCCTGCAGCTGTACAAAGAAACTTATTCGATGTCACGTGTCACTGTAACAATCACACATTTCAAAATATATATATCGTTTCGGGATATTATAACCCGTGTTCGTTTCTCAACTGATCACTGGGATTGTTTCAGGTGTTCACATAGGTTTCACGTCTCAAAGGTCGGCTGAGAAAGCCCACGTGACAACTATTTTCATAACGTCCACGGTTCCTAAAAAATCCATTGAGTGAGAGATAACAATGATCAATCAATCAACGTATTATCAGTTAACCCTTTGAACAAAGTATGTTGTTTTTACATCGGCACTTCACGCCATGATATGAGTGTATTCCCTTTGTTTTAGTAAACCTAGACATGTAAACACTCACTTTTGACATATCCACTGTGCAAGATAACAGTGATTAATCAATCAACGTATTTTCTGTTAATCCTTTGATGACTAGGAACGATCCGTTGATTTACAAAAAAAAGTAAATCAACTGATCATTCATCTCTTGCTGGGCTGCCACGTGCATATTACATAACACACATTTCACCTCATTCAAACCTGGATTTAGATTGAATAATTACCCCAGACACAATAAATGCCAAATGGGAACCTTTGTCAGGTAATCTAAGTGGTGCTACCACTAATTGTACCTGTAATAAATTCATTAACTGAGCATCAAGTGAATGACGACAAATACACAAGTGTAGGGTTATACGAGAAAACGTGGAAGACAACAAGGGAGTAGTAATCGTATTATCAACGCAATCCGAAATCCGAAAATGCTTTCACTGCATGGATACTTTTTTTAGTATTCAACTATAAGCATCTGGGGTATAACCAAATGACGACATCCGATGAGCTCCGCCGTTCTTTTTGTTTGTTTGTTTAGGCTGAAGAAATTAATTAACATGCGCCCTTTGTCGAAATCTTTATAGATCACAGTTACCCAATCAGTGTTTATGCAAAAATGCGTAAAACAAATATTGCCTCCAGCCTCCAAGTTTATTTAACTGTCCTTGCAGACGGTAGCCCAGTCTCTGGTCACGCTCAGTTGCGTTGCGTATCATCCGGGTACTCACGGGGGAAAAAAACAATAACAAAGGCAACAACCAGTCCGGGGAATTGCGTTAGATCAGTGCCC